TACGTGTTAAAGTAGGTGATGGCAGACCGTTAAAGGTCACAGAAACTGGAAACGTTTTAATGTATTTGAATGTAAATGGTATTGAACATGAAGTAATAGTATTCAATGTATTTTTAGTTAAAGAAATGGACAAAAATTTACTCAGTTACGCGAGAATAACTAATAATTATAAAATCGTATCAATTCGAGAACAATCATTAATTTACAATAAAACGAATAAAATTATTGGTATACCAAAAAAGGCAAATGGTTTATATACTATATACTTGAGAGTCAAATAGAAATTCAAAATTCATTTTCTTATAATACAAACAAAATGACTGAAAAAGAAAAATGTCATAGAATGCTTGGCCATATAAATTTTAACTATTTGAATAAAATGTGTAAAGAGAATTTAGTTGGCGGTCTACCCGAAAATCTAGAAAATATTCATTTAAAATGTGGAACATGTTTACAAAATAAAATGCAAATTTGCCATTTAAAAATCATCGTAGTGGAGCAAGTAGAATTCTAGAGATTGTACATACAGATTTAAATGGACCACATAAAACTACTGGTTATGATGGCTCAAGTTATTTTTTGACATTTCTCGATGACTACAACAAATTTTCTATTGTCTATACGATAAAAACAAAAAATGAAGTGTACACATGTTTTCTAGATTACATAAATAAAGTTGAGAATCATACTGGAAATAAAATAAAATATCTAAGATGTGATAATGGAAAAGAGTATTTAAATAAAGATATTTTTAACTTGATTAGAGAAAAAGGAATCATAATGGACAATTGTCCACCTTATGTACATGAGTTAAACGGTACGGCGGAACGCTTTAATAGAACAATTATGGATTCGGCTCGTTGTTTAATGTTAGAAGCAAATTTAAATTGACGATATTGGCCTGAAGTAGTTTTAACAGCTAGTTACCTTAAAAATAGAACGATTGCGAACACTATTGAAAATAAAAGTCCTTACGAAATATTTCGTGGTAAAAGGCCAAATATTGAAAATTTAAAATTGTATGGAAGCAAAGTATTTGCAAGAACTCCTGAAAGTAAAAGAGACTCAAAATAGGATCGGAAATCAGATTTTGGTATACTTGTTGTTTATGAGAAAGTTGGTTATAGAGTATTAATAGGTAATAGAATAACAGTTGAAAGACATGTAGATTTTGTAAAAGACGATGAAGTTTTAGTTGGTTTTGAAGGAGATAATGAGAGCGAAAATGAAACAGATAACGATGAAGTATTCAAAAGTCCAAGTAAAAATAAAAATTTGAAAGAAAATCTAAGTCCAAAAGTTAAAAAAGATAAATAGTATTGATAATGAATCCGATGAGTATGTTGAGTGTGATGAACAAATTACACCTCGTAGGTCAACAAGAGTAAAACAAAAACCCGACAGATACGGCGAAAGCCAAACATACTATATTTACGTAAATTATGTTAATGCTAATAGTCCAAAAACATATGAAGAAGCTTTAAGTAGTAATGAATCGGAATTGTGGAAAAATGCTATGCAAAAAGAAATAAATTGTATTAATAAAAATAAAACTTGGAAACTAGTCGAGAAACCTAAAGATAAAAAAGTAATTGATGTAAAATGGGTATTTACAAACAAAGCAAATAATATTAAAAAAGCGAGATTAGTTGTAAGAGGTTTTCAACAAAAAGAAATTGTAAATGATATTTATTCACCTGTTGCAAGAATTCAAACGTTAAAACTATTATTAGCCTTCTGTGTTCAAAATAAATATTTAATGGAACAAATGGATGTTGAGACCGTATTTCTCAATGGAAATATTAAATCCGAAATTTACGTTAAACAACCAAACGGTTATGATGATAAAACTGGTCGAGTTTATAAATTAATAAAAGCTTTGTATGGTTTGAGAGAGAGTCCACGAGCGTGGTATGAATGTTTCGATAAATATATTAGAAGTCTAGGTTTTGTAAGAAGTAACAGCGATTACTGTTTGTATATTTTACACGGTGAAGATGGTGAGAATATTTATTTGATTTTGTTTGTTGATGATTTACTAATATGTGGCAAGAAAATTGAGAAATTAAAGTTAAATTACAAAATAGATTTGCAATGAAAGACTTAGGTAAACTGAAAACTTATCTTGGCATAAATATTGAATACAATTTTGAACAACATAAAATGACATTAGACCAATGCGAATATATTAATTCTTTAGCCGAAAATTACAAAATAAAAGATAGTAAATTGTATAACACTCCTATGGAGCAAAATTTAATTTTGGAAATAGCACAAACAGCATCAAACGACATAAAATATCGAAATTTAATTGGAGCATTATTATATATCAATACATGTACAAGATTAGATATTAGTTATAGTGTGAATTATCTGAGTAGATTTCAAAACTGCTACAATGAAACTCATTACAAATATGCTCTGAGAGTATTAAAATATTTATATTTAACAAAAAATTTAAAACTAACATACATGAGGAATTTGAAAGCAGATATTTTAGAGTGCTATGTTGACGCTGATTGGGCTGGTGATTCGATAAATCGTCGTTCTACATCTGGTTATGTAATAAGATTCTTTGGAAATATAATATACTGGAAAACAAAGAAACAAAGTAGCGTCACAAAGTCGTCGACTTCTGCAGAATATGTAGCTCTGTCAGAAGCTGTAAGCGAAATTAAATTTATAAAACTCTTATTAAATGATTTCGAAATTGAAACAAATATACCTATTAAAATTTATGAAGATAATTCAAGAACAATAGAAATTGCAAAATTTGGAAATTTAACTAAAAAATCAAAATATATTGAAATACATTATCACTTCGTCAATGAACGTTATGAGCGCAAAGAAATTGATATTATAAAAGTAGACTCTGAGAATAATTTAGCAGATATATTCACAAAAGCTCTTGGTAGATTCAAATTTGAAAAGCTGAGATTACTTTTAAATTTGAAAGTCTAAAGTTTATAATTTATTGAAATTATTTATTTAAGTTTGATTATGAAAGAAAATTTTGAGTTATTAATGTTGTTTTGAAAAACAATTCATTATTATTAAGAGAAAAATATTATTACTATTATAATAAAAATCAAATATTATTATTACAATTCAAATAGTCAGAAAAATAACTGTACGAAGTTTATTACAGCATACAAAATTAAGGAGGCGTGTTAGTTTTGGAGTAATTGTGTATGCTGCATAAAGAGAGTATCTAAATATTGTATACAAGCGAGTATGAGTATAAGGATACGCTCGCAGAGACGTATGTAATATGTAAATAAAGCACGAGCAGTTTAGTCTGTCTGCCACATTGCCAGCGAGCGAGCGTATCACGAAATGACTCAAATAATATAAGAGCGTAACCAAGTTGTATTTTGCAAATCATTGGATTGTTCAAAATAAACTTTCAATTGTTATTGTGAATCGTGCATGGACATTTAAATATTGATCCTACGTCAAAATATTTAACAGTACCAATTAGTAGTCACACGCGTCTCTTTCTTTTGTCGAAACACACACTCTTTTCTCAGCGTGAACTTACTGTATTGACCGGCCCGCGGTCGCTGAGACTCTCTGTCTCTAAACTTCCTCACTTACAAGGGAAGGCAGGGAGGTGTCCGTCACCGATTTTCTTCAAACTTTGCATACGATTAGAGTATCGAAAAATATTGGACACGTATTTTTTTGTAGCGGCCCATACGGTAATTTAGGTGGTAAAAACAGGTGAAAAAAATCATTTTTCAAAAAAATTTGCATAGTATTTATAATAAATAATAGAGAAAAATTAAGAAACAAAAACAAGCGAAGTTTGTGAAATTCAAAAAGTCCCAAAAACCACAGGTTTTTTTTTTGGTGCCACTTTGGGACTCAAAATACAAATTTTTTCGGTAAAATTTGATATCACGTTTGAACGTGTAATTTCCCCCATAATTCGAATCTGCTATAAGCAACAGTAGTTTCCATTTGAAATTTTCAAGTTGAGCCAGATTTGGCCAGTTTTTGGAATTGGACCCAAAAAACTGAGTTTCCCATTTGAAAGAATGAAAAACATTACAAAAGAAACACTGTAAATCTTTTCATATGCAAAAAACATGCCTTTTACACATATTTGAGGTTATGTAAGATCATAAGATAATTTTTTTCGGTCAAACTAATTAATATATCTTAAAGTATGAGTCTTTCCTTTCAAAATGAATTTTGAATCGTTCAGATATCTTTTTCTTTCACCGAGACATGATAATTTGAATTTAGCGTCTCGCCAACTTATGCACTTCAAGCGTATGTAGATAATTATAATTGGCAACCCTGTTTTTACCACCTAAATTACCGTATGGGCCGCTAAAAAAAATACGTGTCTAATATTTTTTGATACTCTAATCGTATGCAAAGTTTAAAGAAAATCGGTGACGGACACCTCCCTGCCTTCCCTTGTTAGCCTACATTTTAAGTGACGTGCAATACGGTCAAAATTTCGCAAGCCTACCCTGACCTGCCTATGTCCCGCTTTCTTTATCTCTCTATCTCTCTCGCCCTTTGAGTTACTTCGGCCGGTGCTTGGTAATTATCGGCTGAAACAAAGAGAGTAATAGTTGACGCCTTCTCATTATGCGCCCAACTCTAGCCAATATAACTTGCCGAGAGCAGAAGAGAGAGGAAATGAGGCTAATGAGAAACAAACTTACTACCTGCTTTCGTCACATGATAATAATTTTGAAATGAACAAAAATATTAAACAAATATTAAGTAATTCTGTTAAATTTGATTCCGACTATAAAAATAAAACTTGGGATTTCCTTTTTTCGTACAACAAGGCTCATTACTGCACTGATTGAGAAAAATACATTCATATAACAGTGCTCATAAGTTAGAACATTTTTTCAGACTCAGATGATATTTGGAGCTTTATAAAAAATGTTCATATTATACCAAACTACTAGTTAAACTTTATATTTTAACAACCTAAGAAAAAAATAAAATATTAATAGAAGCAAATAACTTACAGTGTAATCAAAATTCATACCATCCTTAGCGTCACTTCTATCCAAATTGTGGTTTATTATTTTTTTAATATTCTGAATATGATCTGGATAATAGCTTGATTTTTCTTTTATTAATGCTGCAAGGTCTTGACGATCAATTAAATCGTAAATCAAATATGGCCAATTCGTGGGAGGACGTTCTCTACACTGATAAATAATACTCCTTATAACGAAATTTAATCCAAAAGGTGAGTTGTCTAGTTCTTTTTTATTAAAACCTGCAAATATATTTCTTTGAATACATTCAACTTATACTTTTAAAAAATAATTTATTACCTAAATCATAACACTGACGAGTAATATCTTCTATTTTTCTATTTTTATCATTGATGAATGATACACAGGCTGTCTTGCTTTTCGTTTCACTATTAATTTTTTTGAAGTAGTGGTCTAATTCCAAAATGCACTCAGCATCTTGTTCACTAAACAGACTTAATAGAATAATTATATTTCTGCTTTTTGTATTAACTCCATCTAAGTAAGGATAACTCGCTTTAAAGGAATAAGTTAGAAAACTATATAAAGCTTCGAAAATATTTGGAACATTTGAACTTATAAAATTTGGAATAATAATTTTATCTAAATCAAGTTTATTGAATTGAAATTCTATATCAGTATGATATAGAACGGGAAAATCATTTACGTAACGTTGCTGATACATGCTCAATTTTAAATCACCACTTATTTGATGTAGCAGTTTTGCTAATGAGACGATGTTTTCTGACATATTACAATGCATTTTCATTTCTTCATATAAAAGGTGTAGTGAAAATAATATGATTGGTAAGTGGGATGTATAAGTAGATTCAATGTTATTAATAATTTTCATATTTTCAGAATCTTCGGGAACAATCTTATGAACTGTATCTTCAGTGTTTATTCTTTTTAAACCAAGTACATCGTTGATATAAAGATCTACGTAGTTGGTACAATCGGACATGATCATATATAACCAATCGCTTACCGTTCCATTCTTGATAGTCTTTTGTTTTTTAGAAACAATATTAGGGCTGTTATAATATTCATATACTTGTTCTGAATCATTACTTTTAGTCGCGTACAGTTTACTAACATCGTAACCAAAAAGTGTAAAGAAAATGACTAAAAATAAGTGCCATTCTTGATTTAACGTTAAATCTTCAGGTCCCGGAGCATTTCTAGCCACATACCATTTGATCAGTAACTGCATTGCAATTTCTCGTGGCAAAATACTTTGAAGCGTTTGAAGACATTTTGAAACTGTAAATATATAATAAAAATAGAAATTTAATTATCAATTAATTTTACTGTAAATATATAATGAAAATCGAAATTTCAGTGTTAATTATTGTATAAAAATTCTTATTTAAATTCACAGCTACACAAAAAAAAAATTTTGAAGACTGGGATAGAGACACAGATATTTTATAGTATTTCAACTTGCTAAAGACAAATCTAGAACCTCCTTGATTTCATAAGGTCAGGCTCAAGATCATTTTAAGTTCAAATTAAGAAAAAACCATTAAATCGAAGCATCCCGCCAGGCATATAAGTTTTTAAAGTCGCTGAATCCAAATTCAGAATTTTATTGACCCTATTGGGTCCGGGCTTTTCAAAGTCAAAATAGAATACATCTTTTTTAAGCTAAGAAAGCCTAAAATTATCGCAAAAATAAATCTATGCTATACTAAACCGTAAAACATTGTTATACAGCCAACCCGTCGTATCTAATTTTGTATCCCCAAGATCATATAACTTGACTCCTGATACTCAAACAAAATTTAATTCTATATTATAGCGAACTGTCTATTAGTTTACTGTCAAATATGCAAAAATGTTTACCAATTAAATTGTATATTACAGCAATCACACAATTAATAAAATCTATGATATTAAACCTTATAATTATGTTACATGGTATTTTTAATGCTATTCTTGACTAAAAATTTACCCTGATTCAAAAATTAAAAAGTTGGTGTTAGCATTACCTATGTAAAAAAATTTTACAGAAAAACAAAATAAAATATTTCAGATATTTTTTACTGCTATAACAAGTTCTTTTATTATCAAATGATGTAAGCAATAATTTGCGTTTCCTATTTTCTTTCGATGTATTCTGCTTTAGCGTCTAACAAAAATCTACTATCATGTGATCATACCACCTTCTATAAGATAGAGCTACCATAAGTTTCGTTATGTAAGAGGTTGTAGCGTGCGGAATATTATAAAAATGTTAGTAACTCTGAGTACTCCCTTCGCACTTATCCTGGTAGTTTTTGGCGTTTTATGACGAGCAATATCAGTGGAAGGACTTATCCTAAAACAATATCTCTCGGTGATAGAGTTGTAACGAAGTCGGATTTCACCACCAATTCATTAAAGAGTGGACAAGTGAGGCACTCTCGCTCAAAGCAATCGAACGGAAAGGAGAGGATAGGTCAACTAGATTTCTACACTGTTTAAATTTAAACTCAAACTTATTATAATGACAATGAACTGAACTCTTGATTTTACTAAATACTTAATTTTAATAAACGGACTTAAACGACTAAACGAACGCATGCATAACCGATTACAATATTTAAATTATCCTTATAGGCGTCCAGCACGTGAGCGCATGCTACCTTTCTTAGTAAAACGTACTTCATTCTGCACCGCAATTGAGAGAGAGCTTCAGGAAGAGAGAAACAAAGACTTGACCTTATTACTGTCTTTCTGCGCTGGTAACCAACAGATGCACCATTCTCTAAGGATGTCGGCATTGGAGATGGTCCTCGCTGCCTCGATCCTTAGGCGGTAATTGGTCCAAGTCGTACGGCTCAGGATGGTCTTCTTCTGCCAAAACGACCTGATGCAACCTCTGATGCTTACTTCTCTGTTCTCTCTATGTTGACTGACTGATTGATTCTATGTCTGTTGTCTCGGCCGGCTTCCTTGTTATCGCCTTGTTTCGCTCTCTTGTATCTCCACTTAACCTACTTTTTAGGCAGCATGCAACGCACTGCTTAATGGTTACATGTCGCACGCTTATCAAAAGGTGCATAGTTCATGTGAGTACTCTCTCTCTCTCTTTCTTGCACGTTTTTGCGGTGCTCTTCGTCTTTAGGCTGGCTTGGCCTTATCAGGGAATCTTCAGTGGCTGAAACAAAGGCCCTCGTCAGACGCATTACTATAGTATGTCTAACGTTGAACACAATGCCTTGCCCACAGAAGAGGAAAAGGGAGAGAGACAGACGAAGGAAAAACATACTGCTTGCCGTCGTCACAGGGTAGTGGACAACACTCAGCATACTGCAGATTTTTCTGCGCAGCGTTTCTGATTAGCTATTTTGGCGTGGGATTCTCCTGTCTGTCCTCTGAGTTTTAAGGTTGATGATAACTATCTTTCATCAATGAATCTTAGTATGCTTGATATTGAGAGAGGCCAGAATGACATTGGTGAATCCTTAAAGCCGGGGTCTAATAATTTATTAGTATATTTTATTAACTATAACGGAGAATTCGAAATCACATCCGGCCGTACAAAATTATTTTTTAAGGTGCGGATTCGGGAAGCGCGAACGTTCCCATGATCGAATGATCCGCCGAGGTAAACGGATCAAAACGTACGTAAATGAATATCCCGAAATGAAGAGGGACACAGCAAAAGAATAAATTGTGACGAGAGCAGGCCGTGTGCCGGTCTCTCGTCTGCGTTTCTCCCTCCTCCACTCGGCAAGGCGTGTTGGCCAACGTTAGGCGCATTAAAGTACGCGCCTAACACTTGGTCTTTTTGTTTCAGCGCCAAGGACGGGCCAGCGCAGTTGAGCGCAAGAAAAAGTTGAGAAGCGCGGAGAGTGAGTGAGAAAAAGAGAGAGAGAGAGAGAGAGAGAGAGAGAGAGAGAGAGAGAGAGAGAGAGAGAGAGAGAGAGTACTAGGCCCATGCAGGGATAGGCAGACGCGCAACGCGTGACCGATAAGCGGTGCGTCGCGTGCCGCCTAACTAATAAGTCAAGGTAGGGAGAGGAGCGAGCGCCGCTGAGCGGCTGCAAAACGAGCGCAAGAATAAGTGCGTGAGGGAATCGAAGCCTAGTCCTACTAGAGTGCAGGAGTCGAAGCCTAGTCTTGCTAGAGTGCAGAGTGCAGTTTGGGATAGCAGGAGGGAAGGTCAACCCTATCGGCAACAGCTTTGTCTGCGACAGCAGCCAGCCCCACCTGCAAAGAGAGTCAACGTCGCCTGCGGATACCTGGGCAGCGATAGCTGCCAGTAACTAGCAACGATCTGAACAGCAGCGACAACCGGTACTTCCTGCGGCAGCACATTGCTCAGGATTCTCGACGTTGCGAGGAGCAGTACATAAAGGTTAAGCCTTCTTTACTTCTTTCTCTCTACACTCTCTCTCTCTCTCTCTGGTGATGCGACGACCGGTGCGCGTTGAGTAAGATAGCCAGGCATTCACGTGCCGGCTATCTAAAGATTCGCGCTTAAGATTAATTTATAATAGTGTAAGCTGCGACCGACGAATTGTCCAGGCGCCCACGTGCCGGGCAATTTACCCGGTATTGGTTCGCGTAGTTTTTAAGTAAGTTTGTAATAGGTTAAGTGCACGATTAGGTATTAGGATGAAATACGAAATATTTATTTGTGATTATTATAAGTAGTTTACTGTTGTTTTGTAGTTAGTTGGTTAATAATTAAACTATGTTATGCGCGCGTATGTTTAGTTTGAAAAATGATTAATAATAATAGGTTGTAAGTTTAATTTGATTTATGTCATTGTATAACTTATTTATAACCAATCCTCTCATTTCTCCCTCAATTGCCTTGAGCGAAAGCCCCTCACTTACCCCGCAAAATAATTGGTGACAAAGGAAGAGGAATCCTTGTCACATGGCATCCCTTGTGAGTCTGGCAATTGAGAGACAAGTGAGAAAAATGGTTTGATGGTAAATTTTTGAAATAACGGTTGACAGATTTTCTTTGTGAACTAAGGGCAGAGAGTGCGCGTAAAAGAATTTCGAGTTTCGGTATTTTGAATTCTTTGTTAGTGCTTGCCAGTGACCTTTCTTAGTAGCGCTGTCGGATGACAACGGTGCATCATTGAGTCGTTTTGAACTAGACGATTTCGTTCTTTCCTCGCTTTCGTTTTTCTTTGTTTTAAGAATTTTACTAAACTGCCTATTCAAAAATTACGGTAAGTAAATTTGTGTGAAAAATGGAATCAAATGTTCCAAAACACTTGAAATGCTGAAAGTGGCATACGGTGAGTCTACTTTAAGCCAAAAAAATGTTTACAAGTGGTATAAACTCTTCCAAGAAGGCCGAGAAGACACCGACAACAAACCTCGTTCTGGACGCTCCAGCACATCAACAACTGATGAGAATGTTGAAGAAGTGAAGAAAATAGTGCTGGGAAATCGTCGAATTACCATTAGAGAAATTGCTGATGATATTGGCATCTCATTTGGTTCGTGCCAATCAATTTTGACGAGTGTTTTAGACATGAGACGTGTGTCAGCGAAGTTTGTTCCGAAATTGCTCAATTTCGACCAAAAGAAACGTCGCATCAGCATCGCCCAAGAGCTACTGAATGACGTCAACGATGATCCAGATTTACTCAACAGGGTTATAACAGGTGACGAAACATGGGTATACGGTTATGACGTCGAGACTAAGACTCAATCTTCCCAGTGGAGTCATTCTGGATCACCAAGACCAAAAAAAGCACGCCAAATTCGATCAAAGGTAAAGGTTTTGCTTACAGTTTTCTTTGACTGCAGGGGCGTGGTCCATCATGAGTTCTTGCCACAGGGTAGAACAGTAAATAAGGAATATTACCTGCAAGTTATGCGCAATTTGCGCGAAGCAATCCGCCAGAAACGTCCGAATTTGTGGAAAAATAAAAATTGGCTTTTGCACCATAATAACGCCCCTGCTCACACATCGTTGCTTGTGCGCGAATTTTTGGCTAAAACCAACACAGTAACGATGCCACAGGCACCGTATTCCCCAGATCTGGCCCCCTGTGACTTCTTCTTGTTCCCAAAACTGAAGAGGCCCATGAAAGGACGGCGTTTTGCCACGATTGAGGAGATAAAGACGGCATCGAAGGATGGACTAAACAAGATCACAAAAAATGATTTTTTGAAATGGTTTGAGGATTGGAAAAAGCGTTGGCACAAGTGCATTATATCCGAGGGGGATTACTTTGAAGGAGATAAAATAAAAATTGATGAATAAATAAATATTTTTTGAGAAAAATAAAAATTCACCTTACTTT